TTAGTTTTAGGAATCTTTTAGCTATCGCTATGAGTTTTCTGATTGTTACGGCTTTGTCTAATTTCCATTAGAAGACGTGTTTAGTTTGTGTATTGACTTTTCTTTAGCTTTCAAATTGGCTGTCGGAGATTGATTGTTTGTCATTAAGTACTTTGCTGTTTATTTGTGACATCCCTGCGAAAGTGTTTTAATTGTGGTTACGACCTCATATGTTTATTGTCTGGGAAAAAGGTTCAGTAATACTTAAAAACTTCGCCAGTTCTTCGTGCCTTTTGATAGGTGTGGTACACTTTACTGCTTGTTTTCCGTTAGGCAAGCGCCAACACTAGCATCTCGTAATTTTTACTTTTTTTGATGCTTGGAAATAAACACGAGAATTTGGTGGAGGCAATTTGAAGAGGAATGAATTCTTAGTGTTTTTTTTTTCTTTTTTTGACATTGTAGCATTTATTGGCTTTGGGAAAACTACTTTTTAATGTTTAGCCCGCAACCCATATTTTCCGACATTAAGTAATTCTCTAAAACAAGCCCTAGTTCCTTAACAACCATATCTTTTCTAAACCATCGTTTTGTCAAGAAAAGAAACGATTTTCACTCAGTCCCATCTGAAAGAGGAGAAAGTGGCTATTCGACTCTCAAATGCTGATGATTTTGACTAGATATCAAAGCTTTTCATTCTTAAAGACCCTCTATGGATGATCATTTCGATTTTTACTCTTTGACAATTTACAATTTTAGTTATTCTGTTGAAACCCTTTTAGAATTACCAATGCTGGTATAAATTTATGATGTTAAATATGGTTCTCTAGTCAGCCAAGTCTCAATAAATTCTCCAATAATTCTATCAAATGAATCCGTAAATTCATCAGTCAAATTTTTTATAGTGAAACCGAAACACGAAGTGGGCAAGCAAGGATATGAGAACGTAGATAAAAAATCCTTCCTACTTCAGGACACTTTTTCCATAAGAGCCTATTTTTTTCTTATACATTGCGTAGTCCTAATTTTGCTGTCAGAAATTTTGATCATGAAGCAAGATTTTGCCTATTGCAACCGCTATGACAAAGAGTGAAACAACTTACGTGTAGTAATTTGCATTGATCAATGCGCGCTACTTAATGGCTGCTTCCGCAAACATGACCCAAACACGCAAGGTTGACCATTGATTGTTTTGCGTAGTCAAAATCTGATTGTTAACATGCCAAACAAAAAGTATTACGTCACAGGAGCTGTTTTTTAACGCGAGCTCGCAGACAGAAGTGACAACCGCACGTCTGTGTTCGTGCGCTGAAAAAGAGAAGATCTGTCTTTTGTTTGCTTGCTACCACACATTTAACGCTCTAAAAGGTTTTTACCTCGGAGTCAAAGCCTAATGACAAAACAAAAAACACAAGAAATTATTTTATTATTAGAAAAACTACTTAACAATTATTCGCCAAAGGCGAGGTGAATATCGTCGAATAATTGACCTTGGAATATGTGGTTAGAGCAACAATCCAAACACTTTTACAAGAATGTAACAAATGAACCGCATCTTACTTACTGATCAAATAATCAATCTTTGATTGCCAAGGGCAAGGTCACTAGACCAACAAAGTACGTCCACTAACAGGAAATATACAAAACTGATATCTGAAACCCAAATAACTTCGATAACGGCAAACAAATAACGCAATTTCAACCAACTAACTTAACTCTTTACAAATGACTGTTTTGATCTCGATCACCTCTCCTCAGATTTACCTGGTAGAACCCTCAATACTGATAGCACATATTTCGAAATCTTTGTGATGTGAAACATCTTCCTGATATGCTGATTAAAACGTTACTGTGCTAAGAAAAGGTTACCAAAGCACTGCTCACTAACACAAAAAGCTAAAGTTTTCTTTCGAAGAGGCTTAACTAATGATATGGAAATCTAAAACGAGAATACTGAGTATTAGGAATGAATAAAGGCTGATAGTTTCTAAAGAAACTGTTTGGGGCTGCGTCGGTGGGGGTAACG